GAGTTGCTGCCAAGGAACTTAGGCTAAGTTACCACTATAGGAAGGTTTCTTTACGCAAATCTTCCCATGTATCTATAGTACGGCAACCTAGCTTAAGCTCCTCAACAGCAACCCATTGTTGTTCGAGTTTTTTCAGGGTCTCGGGCTGACACACTCAATGAAAAGTGCCTGCTCTCTACCCGACAACAAGCAGGAGACATCTGCAGAAAATGGATTACTTGGAGGGTCAGGGGGACTTAGTAAGTAGGTTAACAACTCCTATAACCCATATAATAATCCTAGTTATCCTGATTTTAACCTACTTACCAAGTCTCCATGACCCTCCAAGTAATAAGCAGCCAATCACAAAATTGACGCATGAATGCAAAGTAAAGGCCACATATTCTTGGAACACCAAAAGCCTCCACCCCAGATGGCAGCCTATGAGGAGCCCCAGACACGGATTTATATGACGTATATTAAAACTATACACGAAGTTCGTATACTGGAATACCATAGCCCCAAAGTACAAGGTATTTAGGGTCATAACAGGACCTTTCATGTCAACCCTAGGAATCCTAAATCCTAAGCCGTGAACCCGAAACCATCCCAAACACTAAATCCTGACACCTTAATTCAAGTTACCATATTTGCCCAGTAGGTGCAAGGCGTGGCTTGACCTACATTTTTTGTTTAGGGCTTCGGGTTTAGGGTTATGGGTATATAGTAAGTAAAGGGGGTTCTTATTATAGTGACTTAATCTATGTTCCAAACCTGGTAGTACCTACATCAATGTTGCACTGTAGCACGGGGCAGATTTAAACGAATGTAGCTCCGGACGCCACAACCAGGCCATGACTCCCCGATTTAAATTAGGGATGGGTTCAGGGTGTAAGAGGGATAAAGGGGTTAGACAGGGATACATGGGTGTAGATTAGAGCTTGGGTTTTCCCCAAATTACCGGCTGCTTTTAGGGTCCTTGGATGGGATGAAGATGATAACTTATGTATGTCTATCACGGACCGCTAACTTTTGCATACTCCTCTTTATTCAGTCTTACCTTTGCCTAGCTGGGTTTGAAGGAATGAACAAGAAAATGGACTATACTATACTGGTACATATTATGAGCCCTGGACTAAATTTGTAATATATCCCTTAATAGTTCCCCCGTGAAACCCTATATATTGCCCTTATAGGTCGCCCCCAACCTCAATTTAGTCCGTAGCTCACATGGGGACTACTACAAGGATCCGCTCCTTGATTCCCAGCTAACCAAAGGCCAGTAGTGGGATGAGCATTGCGGGATCAAGGCCACGGAGCTGGTCTGACCCGATATCGTTTAGGGTTTAGGGTTTAGGGTTAGCTCTGTTCCCAACATGCAGCTGAAGGCTCTGAGCCTATATCAACCCCCGTCCCTAAACGCTTCACCCCACAAAGAATTGCGCTCCTGTCTGCCCGTAGGCGAACACGCAGAAGTTGTAGCCCTTCAGCATGTTCCTCAGAACTTCCGAAGAAGACCGGGCTTGAGGGTGCGGCTTAGAGCAGAGCATGTACAATAATCTGAAGCTCTGCCTAACTCAACAGAGTGGCAATGGCTGGGTGTAGGGTTTAGGGTTCCACATACTTCAGCTGTACCTTCAAGGAGAAGATTGGTTGCAACATCGGACGCAAAAGTACATGCTGTGTCGGCCTCAACAAAATGCATGCAGGCTTTTGGGCCCGCAATCCTGAAATTTTGAAAGACAAACAACTTGAACATTTGAAACGCCTCCACCACCCTACCCTGGGTTGCTGTTAAGGAACTTAATTTAAGTTACTATATTGGGGAAACCCTATTATTGACTATATATACCCATTATGGTAACCACCCTACCTTGGGCACCAAACCAAAGCCAACGAGACTCAACCCTCAAGGTCCACGCCTGTGCTTGGGTTTTAGATTTGAGTTAATCCAGCTGGCAAAGACGGCATAAGTAACATATTCATACGGCACTGGACAAATCCACCAGGGCTGATGGCATAGGGGCTGACCTATATCGCCCAATCTTCGCTTCTGTTCACCGAAGCCTTCTGGAGGGGCACTAACCGACACGTTTAGAGCACCCACAAACTGGTTGGAGGGAATGTTGCACCACCCCAAGGTACTGAAGGTAAGGTGGCGCAGGATGTTGTCCATCAATAGAAAGGTAAGGGTTTAGGAAGACGTGCACCGGCTCTTTGTAGGGGAACTTCATGAAAAGGTCTGTATTCTTCAGCCCTGAACCCTATGTGAATCCTAAACCGTCACATGTAAATTCATTGAACATAAAGCAATAGGTGCTTTATGGAGGGAGACTGCCCAAATGCAGAATACTTGTGCTACTTCTGGTATAAACATGACTGCTACTTCAACCTTGCTTTCTTCTGTATGCATCATAGCAAGCATGGCCCAATGGACTTCAGGAGCGATACTTCATAATCACGCAGCGGGGGCGGGGTTGAGACAACTACGAATATGAGCCATTGTTCAAACTCCGAGTATCCCCCTTCTTAACCCCTAGAATACTCCCCTATAGAATACCCTACAGAAGCCCCCTTTAAGGAGTTTAGACTACAGATCAAACGGCTATAGAAGGGCAACGTATAGGATATGCATGGAAACGATATCAGGCTGGGATACTGCTGACCTACTAGGGTTTCGGGTTTAGGGTTGGATAGCCCAGGTACAAGTCTGTCACTTACGGTTACAAACCTGGCCATAAGTACAACTAGAACTGGGTTATATGTATGCTGCCTCTCCAATCCTGAATCCTAAAAGCTTAACAGAGAACCAAAAAACCTTAAACCCCTAAACCCCCGAACCCTGACATAGAATGGTTGTTTATGGAAATTGCCATAGGGGTCCCTACTCGAGACCCTAAACCTCAAATACCTAAAGTAGTCTCCATTTTTTGTCCCGCTCCTTCCTTCCCAGCCCTAAACCCTAAACCCTTAACCAGCAATCCTAAACCCTAAAACTTTAACCCCTATAACTCAAATGGCGGGGGGCTCCAGGCACGGCTTTCCAATATCGCTATTCACCTGGTCCTGGCGGGTTTTTAGGGTTTGGGGGTTTAGGGGTTTAGGGGCTAAACCCTAAACCCTAAACGGTTTCGGGGTTTAAGGTGCAGGGGGTTGGTCAGACTCAGGGCTAAGGGTCTGGATGTTCAGAGGTCACTTAAAAACACTGCAGTCTTTTGGGTTTAGGGTTTAGGGTTAGGAGGGCCTTGCAATCTACGAAAAAGCTGCAGAAGATTGTGCTATTCGACCTAGCTTTACATTGGGTGCTCCGCTAACATCAGGACTGACCCCGGCCCTTACCTGACAACATTGCCGTGATCAACGGTCATAGCTGAGAAGGGCTCTTGAAAAGTTCCTTGATTTTCTACCTTGCCAGCAATGATCGTCAGAAGTCCAAAGAATGCGTGGGCAAATTCATAAGAACATGAAGGAGACGCATTAGTTGGGAGGGACAGAGTATGAGAAGGCGTGTAGACTTTCTCAAGCAAGCCCATTCTGACATGCAACTTTGCTTGAGAGCTTGAAGCATCTGCCCGGGCTCCCCAGAGCAAGAAAAAACAGAATGACAATGGCCACTGCAAAGACAACAGCACATCAGCTTATGTGTGCGTCCACCAACAACCCTAAACCCTAAACCCTAATAGTAGTTTCCATTTTATTTTCCATTATTTCAAAACCACCAAACACACCAACGGGTTGTTGTCAGAGCCATGGCTGTGTGCAGGTAAAGCAGTGATTAAAGCCTCTGATAACACACCTACAGGGCAAGACATACAGCTGCCTCCTGAAAACCCGAGCCTATGGCTTTTCCAGTCAAGCCTTTTCGACCTATACCTTATGCAACGAGAATGAAAATTGACACATGGACCGCAGTATGTCCCTGTCTATGACGGAGTATGGAACCAGAGGCAGCTCGATGATCCCTACCCTATGGAGCGCGGTATGACACGATATTCGCGCCCGCCTTGTTCCAGACCCGAACAGTTTACGAAACATCAACGTGCCTTTAGACGAGGACCCTAAACCCTAAACCCTACACCCCTAGAATCTGCCAATATTCCCTAGAAACTGCGGGTCTTGCGGAATTATCTTTTCTTCCGAAATGCAGATGAGCCACAGTGTAAACTCCTAACAACCCCCTTACTAACCCTAGTGGATTAGGGTTAAGGGTTCAGGGTCTAAACTCCAAGTATCCCTCTTAATATGCCCTACAGCAATCCCCTATATAATCCCTGATACGGGTGGTTGTCGAAATTATGGCCCTTTTTTGGATCCTTATTAAAATACGGCACCTAATATTTAGGGTACCCATAAAGGGACCATGATATCGACAACCACCCATATGAGCCATAATCTAAACTCCTAGTATCCCCCTTAATAACCCCTATAGTAGTCCCCTATATAATCCCTTATGTGACCCCCCTTTAGGGAGTTTAGATTATGGATCATATAACCCCCTTGAAGGAGTTTAGATTGTGGCACAGAAGAGCCCGGGAGGCAAGTGCAAGCCTTGAGGGCTTTTCTTACGTTTGGTCAGCTGGGAATGAGGGAATGGACAGGAAAATGGAAACTACTATAGGGCTTAGGGCTTAGGGTTTAGGGTGGGAATGAAGGAATGGAGAAACTACTATGATGGGTTATGTAAGGACTACTATAAGCATCCATCCCTTCATTCCTAGCTAACCAAAGGTAAGTTTTTTGAGTTATCAGGACTGTTGCTGAAAGTGCTGTTCAAGCCAAGTCTTTCTCGCCATTCCTACAGCAACTACGCAAGTTAGACTACACTACTTTGGACCTGCGATATCTAGAAGATTGAGTCCTGTCCTTCATTAATGTTCAGCCAGATTCCTCCTTTTTGCAATCTCGGGCATGCTTTGACTGGAGCAAGTCTTCGCAAAAGCGTCTTCTTTCTGCTCTTTCCCGCCCAATGACAATCCACCCAGAGGAACAAAGACAGCCTCCAGCAAACCAGCATGACAGCTTTACAGAAGGTCTTCGAGGTTCTTCCGCAAGACCGTGGCGACAACCTGGTCACCATCCATTTGTCCTTTCTCCACTTCTTGATCTCCCACGAAGGCCAGAGCATGCCCCGAAGCTGCCTCAAGCAGGGGTGCACTTCCACGCCTCCATGAAGGTAAGTGGTACAGCCGGTACCGCGAGAAATTGAGGACTTCTTGCACTATGATTGCATAGTCTCCAGAATGGTCTATGCGATCAAAAGGCAAAGCTCTCTCTCCATGGCCGACAATGTCCTGGACTGTGAAAAGCACTGCTTGCAGCATGTCTCCATCTTGTAAGTTTGCTTCGAGGACTGTCTGGGACTCAATAGCGACGCGCGCATCTGGAGTTATGAGATGCTTTATTGCGCGTTTCGACATGGTTTCTGCAGAGCGTCGCACGTTCAGCATAGTTTCCTTAATACTGGTGGTTAGTAAGGAATGGATGAATCGATCCCTGCAGTAGCCGCTACATCATTCTCTACAGTGGACAGAAACCCATGTTGCTTCATTCCTTACTACTTGGGGGTTAGGATGAACCAGTCATAGCGGTACTTGAAACCCAATTTTCAGCCTGCTAAGTCCTCTAATATGTTATAACAGGATTATAAGTACGGTCCTAGACCCTAAGCCCTGTATATCCCTACAATCCCTTAAACAGACCCTATATATTTCACTACCCTGAACATTGAAGTAACCAAGCAGCGAGCTTCTTTTCTCGTTGTGTAAATCCAGAAGGTAGCGCCAGCCATGGTCGTGACTTCTAGCCGCAACGTCATGCCGCAGAAGAACTAATGGGTCTAGGACGAAGGTTTAGTAATGCTGCGCGAATGAATGGGCAAGTCAAACGGTGTCGTGTTACCTTGAAGCTTCCATGAGCAGAACTCGTGTCTGGGAATATCTTAACTGTGACACCTGTATGATTGACTCCTATATTGCTCCCGAATACACACCGAAATTGTCCCTACCTGAGTTTTCTGCATCCCTCATAGATTATCCGGGTGCTACACAGAGATCATGATGGTAGCTTTCTGCACTGGGAAAGAACCAGCAAGAGAATATGGGCAGCAGGGCTTGAAACTTCACATGGGCACTCCCAAATATGAGTGTATGCCTGAGACACGCACCGAAAATTTGAGTGAATCGATATGTATATGGATCAATATACCCAACTTGCCATGTCCTTTTTCCGGCACTACCGCGACTGGATGCCTTCAGAAATCTCCACAACAATAAAACTTACGTTTTAAGCTTGGAGACTCGAGATTTTCGCTTTGGACTCGGCAAGAACAAGCTTAAAAGGACTATTGAATGGATGAAGCCGGGCACTTGACCGCAAAGGCTCCATCATGAAGAAACATCTTTCAAGCACATTCCGCAAACAAAGAAGATGGTGTTCAGCAAAAATGGTGGAACATAGCCCAAAGAAGGGAACATCTGAAAGTCCTGTATGAACTTCATTCCCACGGCATAAGGCACTTAGGGCCATGCAGCACTATCACTACTAAGATGGGCTAGCAGCTACCTACTATCGGCATCCTTTTGAGATTTTGACACGTCAAGCAAAAGTACAATGGCTCTGAGCCTTGCACCTGGTTAAAGGCCTGGGGCTTGTGTCCGGCGAGGTGCGATGATGTTTGTTCGCACCGCTTCAAGGGGCTGCGGTACTTACAAGCTACTTAGACTTGTAGGTATAACCATATGTAGACTTAAAGCAATCCGGCTCTCCCAGTGGGACATTTACTTTCACTATGTCAGCAGTCTGGTTTAGTCTCGAAACAACTGTGCCCTGCATGAAGCGCACCCTGACAAAACCTTTCCCTATGAAAAACCCTTCCAAGCAGCCAATAATGTAATCTTGGAGATACTAACATACCGAAAACCCTAAACCTTAAATCCCCTTCATTTTGGGAGCTTTTTCGGGGTATGGGACTATCCTATGCCGCCCCATGCAGAACCAGCTATGAGCCCTGGGAATGGCCTAAAGCTCCGAAAAAAAACAGACAACTGAGAGAATCCCTTCAACATGCGTACGGGTTTAGGGTATGTGGGTTTAGGGTTTAAGGGAGGGTTTAAGGGTTCAGGGGTTTAGGGTCTTAAGGGTTTAGGGTTCAAGGTTTAAGGGTTTAAGGGTTTAGGGCGGATGGAGAACTAGGGTTCTTGGAGTACTGCAATGTAAAACCGTAAACCCTAGTAGTAGTTTCCATTTTCTTTTTCATTATCCCCATATAACCCCAATATGACTCCAAAGCGCTAGTCCAGGGTTCCTCGATCACTCACTGTATTTGCTTTGCACTTCCCCCATTGATGAGCCTAGTTTTGCCCCCACCAATGTCATCCAACATGATGATCAATGAGTGATAAGTACAGCCCTAAACCCTAGATAATCCTTATACGCACCTAAATATCCCTCATAATAACTTGGTTTTCAGTACCCTGGGCATCCAAGGTCTGGGTAAATCTTGAAGTTCCCCTCATTCACTTGAGTAGTGTTTTTTTGGTGGTTAAGCCCGGTAAGATTATATCCCTTATATAAAATACTATACCCCAAAAGGAGGATAGAATCTTACTCTATAATGGGTACCATAGTATCCCCAAAAAAAACACATCCCCAATATAACCCTTATATAACCACAGCTTCCATTTCATTTTCCATTTTGTTTTCCATTTGATTCTCCATTATTGGGGTACCATAGTATCCCCAAATAAAATACTACTAAACCCTAAACCCTAAACCCCTAAACCCTAAAAACTAAACCCTAAACCCCTAAACCCTAAATATATTGGGGTACCATAGTATCCCCAACTAAAATACTACTCAAGCCTAAACCCTAAACCCTAAACCCCTAAACCCTAAACCCTATTGGGTACCATAGCATCCCCAAATAAAATACTACTCACTTGATTTGAAGTGGACACCTCGCACTGGGGCTCTGTTTACCGTAGAATGAATAGTTTAGGGTTTTTAGGGTGTAGGGTTTAGGGTTTAGGGATTTAGGGTCTAGGGGTTTAGGATTTAGGGTTTAGGATAGTTTGGTGCTTTTTTTCGTGGTTTAATGGCGTGGAAAAGAAGCCCCACACATGTAACCTTAATTGGATTGTAATTTCAATGAAAGATAAAGTATAGGTACGAGCAACCTGGCCCTCCACATGCTCAAACGAGCACTCTGTCACATTAAGGACTGGCAAGTCCGGTTCTTCAACATTGCACCCCTGAAGCCCCTACGGCTACAGACTAGATCCCTGAAGCCCTAAGCCCTCAGCCACAAACACTGTACTTCTTAGGGTTTAGGGTTTAGGGTTGCCTGACTATGCGGTACATCTCCAAACCCTGAACTCCAAAAACTAGCTCTAGAACCAAGAACACCAGCACGAAAGGTTTGCGTGCCTGACTGGCAAAGTTCACATCCTTTGGGTCCACGCTGTAGTAGGCGTGATCAAACCTGGCTGACTGAGGCTTTTAGGGATCAATCGGGCTCAGCGTCTCCGGATCTCGCCTTAAAGAGTTCAGCATATATAGCGGTTCTAGGGGAGATAAAAGGAATGCAGGAAAGAAAACGCAAGCTACTATTCAGGGTCTAAGGTTTAGGCTTAAGGTTTGGGGCTTGCAGTGGTGCGCTGGGCGATAAGGACAAGGAACCTCGAAAGATTCAGGGCAAAGGGGAACCTGGGTTTTCAGTGATTGTTTGGCATGTGAGCTAAAGTCTTAACTCCCAGTAACAGTCCCAGTATCTCCCTTACCAAACCCTACAATACTCCCCCATTTAAGAAGTTTAGACTATAGCTCACATGATATGTATGTAGGGTTGAAGGGGCCACGGTCTGTTGGGGGTTCTGTCTGTAACCCCATCTACTACAAGTCGATGAGTTCTAGTTGAGGCGGGTGGCATTTGAGGTTGAACCGAGTTAGGGTTTAGGGTTTAGGGCTTATCTAGGGTTTAGTCTTAAGGTTTAGGATCTACAAAGTAATAACACCTAAACCAGACCTTAATCTTACTCTATATTGGGGGACTGTACTAGCCCCATTCGAAATCATCCCCTCTCCATCACACTAGCACGCACCTGAAGTACAGCATGTCCCGGCATGTAAGGGGAATACTTAACAGTAAGGACAAGGGGGTAAATATACTTCAACATATTCGGGACTACAAGCCCAAAACCCTAAATCCTGAACCCTAAACCCTAAACCCCAAAAATGGCAGTTCCAAGGGTCGGGAGCTGATGGATTTCTGAAGGCTCAGCGGAACTAAACACAAATATATCAAGGACAAGGCGTCTTAAACTAAAAATGCAATTCTATCTGTAGGTATAATGAAATTCTGACCCTATTAGAGGGCTTGTAATTGGGCTGGGTATAAATCTCTAAGCAGGTTCTGCTTACGCCGAACCTGCCAGTCAGGCTCAGAGATTGGAGGCCAGGGTAGAGGGATGCTAAGGGTTCAGGGTTTATTGGGGTAGGTCTGGGGGCCCTATAAAAACAGTTTTCGGCGTTAGAAGTAGTAAATAGGGATAGCGGGGTGCTGCAGTCAGGGAATCGAGTTTGTGGTTTTGAGTAGCGCCGGGCTGCATGAGTTCTTGAGTCTTGCGACAGTGGCAAACACTTTACGCCACTTGGGTGTCTAGAGGTTCAGAGATCAAGGCATTCAGTTCGTGTTTGGGGGATCCCTTCCGGGCCCTTTTCCACCAAACAGAAAGGACTGTTGATTTTGTCTTCCTATTCATTAGTCCCTACTAACAACCAACAAAATGATATCCCAGAGATGACAAGGCCCTCTCCTTGGCACAGCAGTTATGCGCTATAGTTTACACTCCTAGTATCCCCCAACTATCCCCTATAGTAGTCCCCTATATAGTCCCCCATATAAACCCCTTCAAGGAGTAGAGGCCTTAAACCCTAAACCCTATATGATCCCCTGTATAAGCCCCTTTGAGGAGTATGCCCTAAACCCTATATATTCTCCTATATGAACCCCTTCAAGGAGTTAAGACCCTAAACCCGAAAGAATCCCCTATATAACCCCCTATAGGGAGTTAAGACCCTAAACCCTATATAATCCCCTATATAACCCCCTCTAGGAGTATAACCTATAGCTCAAATGAGATGCTTTCCGCCACCGGAGCTTGGGGGAATCCAGGCTCCAGCAAGGGTCAACTTTTAGGCTTTAAGGTTTAGGGTTTAGGGCTTTGGGGGTTTAGGGTTGAGGGTTTAGGGTTGAGGGTTTAGGGTTTAGGGTTTTGGGGTTTAGGGTTTAGGGTTTGAATCCTTGGAAAGACTACAAGGCAAAAGCGCCACATGCACGTATCATGATTTGGAGAAATACCAACGCTGATCCAACAATAACAGTAATCAGAATAATAATAACAACGGTAGTCATAGTAATACTGTAAACCCTAAACCCTAAACCCTAAAT